CGCTATAGTTGTGCAATTAGCTAACAAGGCCAAGCCACTTGCGCAAATCCTATTAGTTCATTGAAACAGGCCGGTTCTCAATGACGTTGACCTTAGCGGGATCCACTCGTAGGCCACGCTTCCAATGAAGCACCCAAAAAGAGAAATTTTTTGGGGCCGAAGATACAGCATATTAGGGCGCATGCACTTGAGCACCGCTCTCTCACGAACGACGTGGCTTTCCACATCTATCCAAACGTGCCCCGCACAACTGTGATCAAAGATCTCGTCGACATATATCTGTGCATAACTCCAATTGGTGCCCAAACGATTGCGATACAAGACGATTAAATGTTGCTGGTGCATTTGACAGCCATTCGGCCATCACCAGCCACTCACATAGCATCCCGCTCGGAGTTTTCGCTGCTGTCAGTGGAATATCACTCACCCTCATGAGACAATACCAAGTCGAGTGCGCTGTACTTTGTCCAACCAACCGAATTGTTCATAAAAACATCATTCCTAGGAATCGGCGTCTGCGCCGGAATGATGGCAGCGTTTGGCTGATGTAAGCGTGAACGACACGCCACTTGCCGTTCGGCTTCCAGTCACAAAATGTGGGTGTTGAATGGAAGAGCTTGCTCTCATGCACCATTCCTGCCTCGTGCTTCGTAAAGAAAAAGACGTCAATGACCTCACACTGCTCTTTGGGCAGGGGCCATAGGCGCGTAACGCAGTATTTGGTTTCCGGACCAGGTCAATCTCATGACGCACACCTTGGTCAGGAGGCAGGACCAACGGTAGGTCGTTGGAGACGACGTCTTGGAATTCTTATAACAGAGGAGATTACGGACTCGAAGGATCCTTCAGAATCGAATAATCAAATCGTACGTTCAGCACCTTCTTTATGTCCACTAGGAAATTCAGAAGCGACCACGAGGACCACGAGTCAATCTCGTCGTTCGGTTTTACAATGACCTCCTCGGATAAACTGCCTGCCTTCAAGGCACTGTTAAACACTTCAAAGAACATCTTGTGCAGCTCAAGAAGAGCATCCACCGCGGGAATAGTTTTGAGGGTGACGTCACCGTCTTCCTCTCCCGTCATACCGTTGACAGGGGTGCGCTGTCATCTGCGGTAGAGCCGCCTGAGACGTGGTCGATGCCCTGTGCCCTGCAGATATCATACGGCGTCGCCGTCGCTTTCAATAGAGGGTTTGTGTCTCATTGAGACCAGTGGGAACACGCACTCAGCGTCTTCCAGTGTCCCCACTCCCTGCTCCAT